GTGTGCGATAGGCTTACATCCACGTGGTGCACCCTGGGCAACGTATTCTCATACGGCAAAAAAGTCTATCAATGAGCAGTTGACTTCTGACTTCAAACTGCCATGACCCCACTGTATGCCATATTCGATTACTCTCACAGTACTCACCTCACCTTTTTTCTACCTTCGTCTTTAAAACACTCTTCTGTCACCCCCCCCCCTCCTCTCGACTTTTTTTTCCACTTTGATGTTCCTTCCCCTCTGTGAAGCCTTAAGTCAACTAAAGGACTAATGATAACCATCAAAACGCCTGCCATTTGATATAAATAAATTTCCCTCTTGTTATAGGTGAACCCAATTTCCTTTGTGGCTTTATTGCACTTGTATTATAGAATAATTGAACCCTATTATTTATAACTGCTTTGATTAAGTTTGCTGAAAAGCACTTCTTACTTATTTATTCATTTATATACTATTTAGTGGAAATGTTGGGGAACAGTTCCAGCTATCCAACTGCACGTAGAGACTCCATCTAAGAAAGCTTTCAAATATCTTATTTCACGTTAGTTATAGCTTACCGTCGCTTCCTACGGAGTGACTGAAAATGGAAGAACTATTTACTTTTTAGCTAGCCATTAGTAAGGTGCTCTCATTTTGTTTATAGCGTCATAGATTAAGAGAAAAGGGTCATTTATAGGTCACCAATAGTTGTGCAAACTGAATTGCAGTTCCGCTCAATTTTTTATGTACTCCACACCTTCTAACTCCCACCTTACTGAAGGTTGGCCATGAGATGGTTCAAGCATTTTATCACACCTTAGACAAATTTTCCACTCGTTCCGGATTGTCCCTAGTCCAGTACTAGCACCACCCTTTCTCCACCCAACTCCCCCATCTTAGTACTTCCAAATTTTTTACTTTCCCTTCTTTTTCCAAATGAACAAAGTTAATCTTACTAACCCAATTTTCCGTCTTCTCGCTTTGAAAAGAATATTTCATTATATTCTGGAGAGAGAGCTCATTACTTCCATGAGGGCCATCTTTAAGTACTTGATCTGCCTCCTAATGTAAAATCTCTGTGGTATTAGGGCAACTTTAAGGTAATTAAACTAATGTCAAGTTTCTCAGAATGTTGAGTTAGTTATCTCGTGGCGTAATACAGTCACGAAAATCGCTTATGCACATCAGTTTGCGCAACTGATTGATTAAAAAGAAGCTAAGTGAAAATGTATCTTTCAAATCAATGATGAAGCAATCACATGCTCTAGCCTTTCTACTGGGTCAGCGTTTATCAGCGATTAACAATAGTTAACAATAACAAGGACTTCAACTGTCCAGTTTCCGGTTATTTTAACGAGTTGACAAACAATGCACTTTGCACTGAACTCTGACGAATGATGACCTTCTGTCCTCTTCCTTCATGAATGAAGTAGATTTTTCCAAACTAGTTTACTTATAGAATGCATTGAAGATGTAATCTAATGGTTAGGGGAAGTTCAGAGTAATGTAGAGGAGTGGAATAGGTAAATTTTACATTCATTGTCGTTCTGCTTTCTATTAATCCTATGATAATTAGAACAGATAGATAATGATTGTGACACAAGTATGTTAATTAAGAAATAGTAAAGAACAATCTAAATTTCGTTTCAAGGTCTGGGAAGAAAAAACATGCTTTTCACAACACTAGATATACATATACACTTGACAAACGGACCAAGGAGAAAAGATTTAAAATTCTGAAATAAATGTCAACCGACTTGGCCTCTGAGCTTGCGGGGGTACCTTAATTGCAAATGCTGAAATGTGGTCATTAAATGTTATGTTTCATTATGTTTATGATATTTATAAATATTAAATAGGCGAAAGTGGAATATTTTCACCATCAATTAGTTTTTAAACGGAAAAGAATTAATTACGGATTATTACATTAGAAAAACAGAAATAATGGGCGATTTAAGCATCTAACTTTTATTTAAAGATAGTATAAATAAGATAATTAGCAATATTAGTTATTATTTTCACAGTAAAATTTAGAATCATGAAGATGCGATTTGATGAGGAGTGATGGTAATCGTCTTAACCATAATTGGACAGTAATAATCTTAATTTTTGTTTCATTCAAAATTTTGAGCCAACTCGATGCTTTTCACTGTCTAAATATCTAGCACGTTGGGACGATTCTAGTATAACATCTTCACACATTTGAGGTCCCTTGATAATGATAACAATCAAATTAAATAAATTTCTATTTAAGCTCTAGAAAGACGAAAATGTTATAAACGCATCTTTTTCGTCAGTAAAAACGTGCTTTTTAGAAATGGTTTTACTCATTTTTAGTTAAATGCTTATGAGTTAGAATTACAATTGAATATGCCATATTTCCATCTAAAACTTTAAAAAAGTATGTCGTCTAAAATAAAAATGAATAAAATACAGGTCATTAAATTAACCTCTAGTAACATTTCTGGTTCATAATAAAAGCCGCTTACATTTGTCGTTTCTCTTAGCTGAATTGAGCAACAACAATTTGGTTGCTCTATCTTACATCTGATCAGCTTGATGAATCTGCTTGATGCAAATGAGCGGTTAACTTGTGCAGAGGTAATACTTATAAATTATAATATATAGATTTTAAGAAATCTCGCGAAGCGTACTTTGCTGCACTTCAATCTGGAATTCCAAGTTATGACATAGTCTTTTCTTACGCGTTGGATCTCTTAAAAACCAAGGATAAGGATGCATTGAAAACCGCAGAGTCCCTACTAAGAGGCAATGAATATAAATCTACTTAACTCCTGGTTTAGGTTGTTTTGCGAACGCAGATGATTCTAAAAAGCGCGAGTGCCTTTTCTTAATCGCTGTTGCTAACACAAAGTTGGGTGTAAGTATAATGTTGGAAATGATCATAGTCTCTTTAGCACTACGAGAAGGCAGCAGAATGCTGTGAAAATCTTCTAGCTGTTAATCCACTGGATCACCAATCATCTGATTTGCGCTTAGAGATCGATCGCCGTCGTAGAAAAGGTAAGTCCCCTGTCATTTTATCTGCGTTCCCTCACTAAATGCGTTTATAAGGGTGAATCAATTCGTATTAATATAGGAGGGATGATTGGTGCCTCTCTATTAGCTTCGGGAGCTGTAGTTGCTGTCGCTGGAATTGCAGGCGCTTTAGCTTTGCTAACTCGTCGCTGATAAATTTTTCAAATGATTCGAACCTCTTTCTACGTATCGTGATAATTTTTCACTCAATCATTCAACTATTTTGTAATCTCTATGGTCTAATTCGTCAAATATACTTTTATGTTGTGTTTTCATCATTCTGTACGCTTTCCGGAATCATTTTTACATTACATTCTGATCATTATTGTTTTATCTTTATTTTGCTTTGACGTTATTTGTAATTTCTTAAGGCTTTTTCGATCAGATGCTTTCATTTTCTAAATTTTCTTTTTCGGAGTATTAATTAAAACATATTTCCTCATTCCAAGTTGTCTACTAGTCTTTTCTAATGAATTAATATTTATTAGATAAAACTGGTAACCTTTTGTTTCGTCCCAGTATGCATGATTTTGTTTATTGACTATTGTTTAAGTTCACTTCCTTTATTTAACATGAATTTTATTCTCCGGCAAGGCATATTTCTTGCAATCTTGTGATCCCGAGAGCACATCTGCTTTCTTTTCTTCTATTTGAGCCAGATGATTGGACTGACCTCAAAGTTCACACCCACGCTGTCTTTTTGGGCCCATGTGAACTGTTATTTGCTTGATACATTTGTGTTCTGGCATTGAACACTTTTCGATAATGTCGTTCGATAATCTCCCACAGTTCAATGGAAAAGTTCCAGACTTGTGGTGGTCATAGTTCTTTTAGTGTGTGTGATATGAACGTTTAGTTTCTCAGCGGTTTTTTAATTATCCCTTAAGATTATTACATTGACCGATTCCTGTTATTTGTACTTCTCTCATATCTAAATTGGTTATCTATGCCATGGAGACAATTATTTTTATTTAATACTGCTTACAATCCGGAGTTCGACTAATAATTAGGTCTCATGCAGGCCTCTTCAAATTCCAATGATTGTTTCCCTTAATTCCAATTAGCGATTCACTTGTTTGCATCCTTTTATTTTCCTCTTTTTTGTAGCTCCTGTGGTTCATTTCCTTAAATTAGGGAAAAGACTTCAATTTTCATCAAATTTCATTGAGCTACTATGTCGCTTCTCAAAAGTGGATGCTTTTTAGACTTAACTGAAAAAATGTTCACTTATATCCTTATTTTAACAATTCTCGCTTAATCGCAATACTTGTTCAAGTGGCTTTCCACTTCAATCACACCTTGAAGTCGTTTTCCTCTAAGTGGAACCGCTCATTGCCTCTTCCGAAACCCATACATATGAGTATTTGATAGATATTTTTTTTTCTCATTATTGATATAATCTGTAGCTCCTATGAAGATATCTGTCGCGTAGTTAATTAGCTTCAAAGAGCAATAAGAACGAACCTAATGGTCTAGCAAAGCGACAATTTGCCAGGTTATATCGTATTGCGTGTATTTTACCTAAACAGTAGCAGAACTTGGCTCAAATTAAAACTTAAAACAGAGCAAAGCAAAGTTCTTTACAAAATTCGCCCTTCCTATTGGTTCTCGTAACGCTTAATGTCTTAAAGTTATTCTTCATTCATCGCTCCGTCATTGGCCCACGTCCCTAGATCACTTTTATTGCTTACCTTTAGTACCTCAATAATCCCATTTCATTTGTAAACATTTACTTGAAATTTGTATGTTTAGTTGCTGATATTGAATTCTAAGTTGGCTGCGATTGGCATGTCTTAGTTGTAATTGAAATTGCCCGAATTGGGGTTCTTTGAGTCTCTTCCTATTTTTGGCCATTTATGAGAATAATGATATTTTTTGGGGTGCAAAATATGATCAACTCTTGCCTACAAACCGAAATGTTTTCCTACAAAATTTTAATTTTTATGACTCGAGTTTTTTTTCAGCTACACTCTGTCAGTTGATTGAATAGTGTCTCTTTTTTCCCAACATTTATATTTATTTATTTATTTCAAATGGCAGGCGTTTTGATAGCTATCATTTGCCATTTAGCTGACTTCGGGCTTCACAGAGGGGAGGTTCATCAAAGTAGCAGAAAGTCGAGGGGTGGGGATCAGAAGAGCGATTCACAGATGTAAAAGAGGCAGACAGACACAAGGGTAGAGAAAAAGATAAGATGAGTACTGTGAAAGGGGTCGAATATGACAAGCTGTCGGGCCATGGTAGTTAGAAGTGAGAAGTCAACTGCAGGTTAATAGACTTTTTTGCCGTATGAGTATACGTAGCCCAGGGTGCACCACGTGGAGGTAAGTCCATCCCACACCCCTTTTTTTCCCAACATGAAAGGGTCCCATTGACCTCTCGTCAGCACATTGCATCGCATAAACAATCAACGTGGTAGGGTGCTGACGAAAGTGTAGTGTCACCTGACGGTGTCGAGTGAACACACACAGACACACACACACAGAGTAATTTGGGGAAGCTGTCAATAATAGCACAATGACTTCATTTGCATACGAAATTGGACGTCAATTCACGCTAAGTCCTGATATGGCTTTTTCTGATTTACTCCTTTCTTATAAAACAAGTCACTTTCACTATTTTTGAATTCACATCT